TTGCAAATGCCACTGGATAGGAAGGCGAAGCAACCACTTGCCTAACCGATCAATATATGCCAAAGACCTCCAAGATCAATCTGGAGCCAAGTGTCCTGATGGACCTAGCTCTAGAATCCAGTTGTCTTCAACCGAAGCTAAAACACTGGCACCGGATCTGGAAAGTTTGAAGTACTGTCTGGCGCCCCCTGAAAGAAGATACGGTCATGGATATTGAATTGAATGGAATGGATAACTATCGAAGCAGCAACAAAAGATCCCTTGTTCAAAGGGTAGATGGATCTTGAGCCATTTTTGTACGATGTGGCTGCTGGTCTTGCGAGAATGCCGCTGCGCGAATTGTGACTAATTATTACCTGTGTTCAAGCTCATCCGTCCATCATCCTTTAAGTTTTCCTCTCGGTCCTGATCACACCTTGTGTAGTACCACTTTCAAGTATTGCAAGCATACAGTTTCGTATCGTCAAGAAAGTATCGTCATTTCTGCTCCCGTACATTCATTAGAAGCGGACGCTCAATGAAAAGTTGTTCTTAGATCAATTGAATGTTCTTGAAGCTTTTTCTTGAAGTTCAGGCATGTTTTACCGTTTGTTTAAATACTTACGGTCTTCTTTAGTTCTATTCTACGATTAAGTGTCATATACTCTACTGATGTATGAAAACTGCATATATATTGTTTTGCTATGTGGACTCAGGTGGGGCCTACGAACGGTACTCAGAACTTCTTCTGATTTCACTCGAGCATCCGTCACTTTACCTTTTGAGTTGTCGTTGTACCCACCGTCTTAATGGACTTAACGAATGCTTTGTCATTCAGCACAACTCCAAAACGATTGATTAATATTGTCTGATATCTTTCGACCTTTCCTCTACTCATTTCATTTTTCCATTTCACTTTTCTTCCTTGAAGAAGCTCATATTTTATCCCGTCATTTTTCCAACGTTCCAAATTGCAATTTGCATTTTCTCAGTTCGGCGTGATAATTTCTCCATCCCTGGTTGCCATCGTTACACCGACTGATACTGATTAAATCTAAATCTAATGCTAATCTCTCACTGCCGCCGGAATTTTTCATCGGCTTAACAACTATTGGTGAGTTGGCTCATCAGATTATACTTTGACCTCGGTTTCTACATCAGGCTGCCTTCCTGGCGCCAACCTGATATTCTCAACCCGGATTGGAACCAACTGTGGTCTTTGAGACCAATAGCATGCTTGTTTGATGACGGCACGTACTTGCCATGTGATCATGCTGTCATTGAGTCTTTCTGTGTTTTCAAGAGCCTCTTTTTCAGTGACTGGTTTTTCATTGCACCTTATAGAACTGTCGTCACATTATCCACGACTGCTCTCTCATCACCCACTACGTTTTCCATAACTGGTTCCTATATCTGAGGGTTGTCGCACTATTCGC